AGAAAAACCCTTCCACGGTGTAGATAACCGGGAAGTGATAACCGCCCTCATATATCTAACAGCACTCAAGTACCACTGTATTCATAATCAAACTCCCTCTTCAATTCCTATAATTCCTCCTACATCGACTTTCAACTCTAAACTTCCTGTTTCGGCTCCGTCCTCGAGTGTCACCATAGCCAACGACTCTAGTGTGCAAAACACTGTCCCAGGTCCACTGAAACCTCGCTCCAAACTACACATTAGAGCCTCCAACGTACACATACTATGTCAAGTCGGTCAGCAGGCCTCCTTGGCTAAAACCCTAGAATCTCGTACGATTGATGTATGCTGCGTCTCCGAAACACGCATACAGGATCCTAGTGTGGTAATTCACTTGACCCTGCCTCGGCAAGACGGAGAGCTAACGAGATACACCCCCGTGTATCTGGCGACCCGATGGCTAGTCCTCGTGTACTGGCAGGTGTAAGCGTAGCACTAAGCATGAGGGCGGAACAAGTATTATTAAAGTGGATCCCCGTTAACAGTCGTCTATGTGTTGTTCGGCTAAACGGTTCCGTAAGAACTCGGAAAGATAGGGACACACGTGGTTGCCTTTTTGTCGTTTCTGTCTACGTTTCCACTGACTGCAGCTCGGATGAAGTGAAATATGAATTTTACAGAAAGCTCTCTGAACTTCTTCAGAAAGCTAAACGTTCAGACATAGTACACGTGGGAGATGACTTTAATACCCAGATAGGTAGCTTAAACCAGACAGAAAGGCATTTGGGTGTGTATTTTAGTATTCCGACACAGCGAACAGATAATGGTGATCGTCTGCTGCAACTGTGCTCAGACAATCGTTTATTTTTAGCAAACACACATTTTAAGCATTAGGAGAGACATCGTCTAACATGGCGACTTCCTGCACCAAACCAACGATGGACTCAAATAGACCATATTGGCATCAGTCATCGTTGGAGAGGTTCGATAGAAGATTGTCGTTCATTCTGGAGTACCTGCTTGGACTCCGACCACACTCTAATACGAGCACGCATCTGCTTACGCCTCACTGGATGCAGAAAAGCCACACTAAGAAGACCCATTAGAACTGAATTGAGTAACGAGAAAACCAAAAGTAGGTTCCAGGAACAACTGAGGTCACACTTAAATAGTTCTGAAAACGAGGCTGCTCTCAGTCCAGACGTTTAGGACGATGGGCGGAACACTTTACAGAGCAGTGTAGCTGACCTTCAGCTATTCTAAAACTGCTTACCATTCCCAGAAAGCCTGAATGGAACATTGAAGTAAGTCCTTCAACTCGAATTGAAGTGGAGAAAGCTATAGCTAATCCGAAACGAGGAAGGGCAGCTGGTTCAGATGGATTTGTTCCAGCGGTCTTTAGGTCTGGTGGTCCAGTTTTAATGATTGGGTTGACTAATATTTTAGCTAAAATCTGGGAGTCGGATATAATTCCATCTGACTGGTCGCAATCACTGATCGTCCCAATATGTAAGAAGGGGTCAAAATCATCCTGTGATAACCATAGCGGGATTAGTTCGACTAGTATAGAACCTAAAATACTAGCCTCAATAATTGTCGTACGCTTAACAAAGGCTCGTAGGCTGCAAACACGAGGAAATCAGGTTGGTTTCAGACCTGGTTATGGCTGCATCGACCACATATTCACCATTCGTCAGGTTCTAGAACACAAGCATACTTATCGTCGTCCGACAATGACAGTTTATCTTGACTTAAAAGCAGCATTTGATTCTGTAGACCGGGAGGTTCTGTGTCAGTGTCTGTTATTGAAAAGCGTACCTCAGAAGTACATAAACCTTGTGAAGGCTCTTTACTCGAACACTACCAGTCGGATCAGAGCTTATGGAAAGTTGTCATTTGATTTTTCAACCTCAAGTGTTGTCCGTCAAGGCTGTCCACTATCTCAACTTTTGTTCAACTTCATTATAGGTATATTGATGGAAATAACGTTCCCGTCGACTGAATTCTTGGGCATTGATCTCCCTCCAGGAGGTCCACTTATCGACTTAGAATACGCAGCTGATATAGTTCTGTTTTTCGAAGACGCTGATAAAATGCAGAGGTCTTTTGGTAGCACTGAGCAACAATGCCAGGGTGTTTTGGACCCGTTTCTCCCCATCTAAATGCAAGTTATTGCTTCAGGACTGACCTGCGTTAACACCTGAACTAAGGATAGGGCGTGAAGTAGTCGGACGCGTTGACAACTTCACTTATCTTGGAAGTCTGATCAGCCCTAATGCGTTGGTGTCTGACGAAATCTCAGCACGGATTCGAAAAGCTCGCTTGGCTTTTGCCAACTTACGTCACCTATGGCGAAGGCGAGATATCCGTCTATCAATAAAAGGACGAGTATACTGCGCGGCAGTCCGTTCTGTCTTACTTTACGGCTGCGGAACGTGGCCATTACGAGTAGAAGATTCTCGTAAGCTACTAGTATTTAGTCAAATATGTCTTAGAAATATCGCTCGCATTTTCTGGGATCACCGGGTAAGTAATAGTGAGGTTAGACACAGGGTATTGGGGAACGATGGTAAATCAGTTGATGAGGTTGTAAATCTTCGTTGAATGGGATGGTTGGGCCATGTGTTTCGTATGCCTGAACACCGTTTACCACGACGCGCAATGCTGAGTGGTGTTGGAGACGGTTGGAAGAAAGTTAGGGGCGGTCAAACCAAAACGTGGCATCAGTCCTTGAAACCACTAACTTCTAGTCTGAGCCACGTTGGTGGATGCAGACTACTTGGTTAGGGTGTGCGTGACTATCGTAACTAATGGTTGGAGATTCTTGGTGACATGGCTCAGAATCGATCACAATGGCATTGGTGTATACACTCTCTGGCTTCCCTTAAACTAAGAGAGTAAAATCGCTCCATATCTTTCTTTCTACTAACTATTTCTCTCTTCTTGTACTATATCCTTATATGCAATCTTCCTTTTATATATTACCACCATTGAATTAACTACTTCTATGAATCTAGTGAATCTTGTTGTGCTAATGCAGTATGGAAATTTGGACCGATGCACATATGTGCCTGGTCCTACGTTGTAGATGACTGACAGACTGCGTGGTTGGGGTCCACTTGATTATCGTAACCAATAATCAGAGACTTTGGATGACATGGTTCAATATCGTTTGCAATGGCGCAGGCTCATCTACTTTTAGTCTTCACCCAAATTCTGAGATTCTAAGTTCCTCATAACTTTTTTCGTTCTTATCCCGCTAATTTATATATATTTTTCGAGTTGCATCTTCTGTGTTTAATCTTTCCTATTACCACTGATACTGTTACTACTTCTACTGGTCTGGGGTTTTGCCTGACAATTTCATTTCGGTGTGCTAATGGGGTACATGCATACAGGTTCTACTTTATGAATGAATGACTAAATAACACGTTTTTATTTATTTGTTTTCATTCCCTTTTTCCTTATCTCCAAAGTCCTGAGAAGTGTTATACAACTGACTTTCTCACAAATCACTGGCTTGAATATGTAACGGTTGTAAAGTCAATCCTCACTAGTGACTATAATATATGGCGATTTTTCCTTCACAAATTTCCCTTTCGTCCCTTGGAAATATAAAACAGAATATAATTCTGAGTTTTGTTGCTATCAATATTGGGTCTTTATTTTTTTAAATTTAATTTCGCGAAAATGTCAGAAACCGTGTCCTATCGGTCTAGTGATTTGAAAGCCCAAGCCTTTGAAATTTTAGAGTGCTTCTAGAAGGTTTTTATTACTTGATACCAACTAGACAACTTCAAATGGCGTCTTTATTTCTGCATAAAGATGTCGAACTCCTTTCCACGGAAACTTAGGATAATGTTTAAACTGCATCACTGAAATCTTTAATGTTTTCACTACGTCGAGAACTGAATTTCTATACTGACGCCTTTTTTTCTTTGACAAATTTTAGGTAAATGGAAAATTATCATTATCCTCTGCAAAATATTTTTGTTCATAACCCTTTCTCATGTATCATACCCCTTCCACAAGGAAACGAAAGTTCGTTTTTCAGTGTCCCTGTGCCCTTATCGTCTCAACCCAAACGGGGGCCGCTTCTTCAAGATCCATCTACAACCTTCAATCCACCAACAAGCAGTATATCGAGTTCATTTACATAAAGTGTGTTTATTAGATCCTTCAAATGATATCATACAAACGTCATTATGTGAAGTAAATTTGGATGATGTCCCGATGGAAATTGTTACTTCCGAGGAAGACTCGGGATCAGAATATGCTGATGCTTTCCTCTCCGCATACACAGAGTCCGAGGATCCAGTTGTTCAGAACGTAGGTTTACCTCATTTGTTATTTATTTCTGAAGTGCTCAGCAGAATTAGATGAAATTGAACTCAGAAGTCGTGCACTAAGGAGTATGCTGCTCCAGAAAAAAACCGCTTCAGGGAATAGAACTCAACCGAAAACTGATCTCACACTACTCCATAACTTACCTGAAGTCAGGAATTCGTTTTCAAAAGTCAAGGCATCATGTGATTCATCAACTCTAAAACATAAGCAGAAATTTATAATTACGTTACATGAATCATCAGATAGCGATGACTCACTTAGTCAACCTGTTGGTGCTGTTTTCAAGGGTTCAACAGCAAAAAGATGCGCTTCTAAGCCTCCTATTAACATGGATGTTCCTAATCAGTCAGAGAAAATCAGTCGTTTTCATCAAGAAGAAAAAATGTTGTTGCAAAGAAAAATGGAGCTTCTCCGACTGAAACTAACTGTTAAACGTCAACAACACTTGATAGATGAACGACGTAAAATCGTTCGGAAGTTATCGACCACGTTATCAGAACTTCGTAGGCGCAGTAAGCATACAGCTTTGTTGTATAAAGAAGCTAGTAAGTCTCTTGTCAAGGCCCAACGTACAAATGCTACTTATCAGCGAAAACTGGCTTCAGCCCAAAAATTATATTCAGATGTGCTTAATTCTGTAAACCGCTCCACTGCGGACATAATACAAACAGGTTTTGCTTTATCATCTGTAAATCTACGCAGAGATCTTATTATTTTGTCTCTAGATGTTCTACAAAGAGCGAAAGTGGTTACGTGGTTTCTTGTTCACTATCATTTTAACCCAACTACATCAAAGTTTAACATGAAAAGTGTGAAGCCGGTGGCAACAGTAAAACCAAGTTCAGAAACCTTGCTGGAATTCGATCCATTCCGCCCGATTTGCCCATTTTTTCTCGATGGTGAATGTCTAGACAAAACATGTATATTTCAGCATCCCAAAAATTCAACTGTTATAAAAGCAAAATCGAAAACTTTTTCCCCTTTATTCATGGTTAGCACGGATGTTGTGTCTCTGCTTGGTGAGGGAAATAAAGGGAGATATGATGACGTGTATTGTGAAGTCTGCAAAGAAAATTTGGTCATGTCTGCATCAGATTTCTCTCAGTCATCAGCAATACAACGTTGGCATACAGCTTATCTTGGATATTTACGTTCAGAACCAAAAAGCTCGGCCTTCCTTCATAAATTCTCAAGCGACCTCGAAAATTCCTCATTCCCTGCAGATTTATGTGCCCATCTAGTATTCGGACTTTTGTTATGTTCTAATATAGATCCAATAACAGTTAAGCAAAAGCTTTTTGATTGCCTAAAAGCCTCCAGTTTTCCATTGAATGCTTGTAGATTAGCATTACGACATCCCAATTTAAGCATACCAATCCGCAGATCAATAATTAAATTGTCTCTTGAATATATAACTCTTCAATTCCAGCAAGATGCACAAGCAAGTCAAGAATCAAAGTTTGAGTCATCTTTCGCGTACTTCGTTTATCAGTGGTGTTTGCTTGAACAAGAACTTGGTTTACATAACAAGGTAATTACCATCCTAAAACATACTCTCAAATCATTACCTACGGAGAACAAGCTAATTTATTTCTTGTGGTGGTTACGATTATATCACCAACTAAATGGTACTTTACCCCATGAAAACCTATTTTCTACCGCCAATTCACCATGCTTCTCCAAACCAGTCCTCTTATCTAACCTGGAAATTATTGAAATGGCAGCCACTGAAACTGGTATTTCTAAAAATTTATCTCAATTACTGGAATCATTTGAAACAATTAAAAATGATATTAGCTTCACTTGCTTTCTGTATATCACTCATTTATACATTCAAACTCTTAATGCAGATTCCAAATTTAAAAGTGCAGCAGATATAGCACTGACAGTAGCATTACATTCCCCTGAGTTTGTAGATGATTTATTTTTCCCATCTGCAGTATATTCTTTATTTTCCTTAGATTCATCTCTTGACTGGACAAGCTTGATTAGTAATGTGTCTGACAAATTACGAGTCAACCTTAATTTAGCCCATCGAATTGAATTTGGATTCTTGATAACATGTTTAAATTGGCGTAGAAAAACATTAAATTCTACGGAGTTTCATCTTATTGAGTGTTTAGGCAATTTAATCTTTCTTCCAAAAGATGATTGCGAAAGTGTTATTTCAGCGTATGAAAATTTGTTGAATATAAAGTCCAGTAATAGCAGTCTTGTTAACTTTAAAGTGTGTCCACGAAGTTCCACATATTTATGGCTCAGTTATTGTCTGTATACCACTATCCATTGCCTAAATTACGGTGAAGTTTTAGACCACTTAATTAGTCACTATAAGTCATGCATCATGAGTTGTGCAAACGAAGATCCAAATTATGTTTTCATTCGTCTTTTAGCCCTAATGAGTCTATTATTAGCAAGTCATGTAAATCAGTTAGATAGTTCAACTTATCCTACTGTCATAAAGTTACTGTTCATCGATAACCCTTTCAAGTTGGATCGTAAGTTACTTCCAGCGTACTTTCTTGAGTTGATTCAACAAATTAACTTAGGTCTTCTTCCTTCTGGAATTCGTCACGATATATGTGTACAGCTTGTTGAAATATATGGTGCTTCTCTGGTTCCCTCTTTGTGTCGGACTTTGTGTGCTCTAGGTGACCACTTTTTAGCTCAAAGTCTGTGTGCAATCGGATGTTTAGATAGACCTGATAATGAAGACTTCTGGCTTTTGTATGCTTCGACAACATTTAAAACTCTTTCACATATACGGTCATCTGAACAGTTATCAACTCTTCTAGAAATTCTAATAAATGCAACTTCTGCGGTAACTTCAAGTTCTCGACTTTGGAAATATTATGCACTTGCTGTTCGCATTGCCAAGGTATCAGTAGAGCAAATAACGAGCCGTGCAAAGTCTGTTGGAATGTATGATCTCATTTCTAGTAGTCTGAACGATGACAATCCTACGAAATTTTTATCAGAACTTGGACTCCTCTGTGATGAAAGATCTATGGACAGAAAATGTTAGAATTAAACCATAAAAGTAAGTTAGTTTAGAAAAGTAATAGTGTAACATCCTTATTTTCAAAGTTCACTTTGATACTTTTATATCCAGTCTTTTAATAAAATGGTTCTCATTTTATTTATTGTATTTGTTCAATTAACCGTTTATTTATGTGCTCTTTGGTAGTTTACAACGTTTATTTATCTAGAACTTACTGCAGGCCATTTTGTCAAGTTTAATAGAGAGCCAACCATTGTTAATTTCTGGAAAAGTAGTCTAATGTTTGGTTTGGTGAACATTTGTTGATACAGCATTGAATAACAAACGTAACCTATCACTAGAGGACTTAGTTAAACTAGTTTGAAACCTGTCACTAGCTCAGGTACATTTATTCTTTTATTTTCTTTAATCCCGAGAAAAACACTATCACATACTTTCCATCCCCAAATCTCAATCGTCCCTTTTAAACTGTCTAATATGTGTAGTTTTCTGCAAAGATAAGTATTTTAATTTTTACTTCTCTGGTCTTATCTTAGTAAATGTAATTTTTGAGGATTTAGACTGACATAAATTTTTGCCGAATTACACACTTTTTACTTCTATCTGTCAATTAGAGTAATACCAACCTAATTTGTTGCTTCTGGAGAAATGGGATTTTTTTATATCCATTAGATAGTATAGACTTTTTATGGAGTGCTTCTCCAGAATCTTCAGTTTATGCTTACTGAATTGTTACAAATTTCCTGAGATTCGCTACAAACAGCATGTTAATTACAGTGAATTTAAGCACATTGCTCAACACAAACTCACTATTAGTGCTTGATAAATAATGTCAGTTGATGAACACAATATAAGTATTGGATTAGTTTTCTGAAATATTTTCGGAATCCAGTACTCTTTGCTTCTGTCTGGTTGACAATTGCTGGGACAGATCGTTTTTGTATGTTCAAACTTATTTATCCCGTTTTTGTCATTCATTGCTGTCTGGCTAAATGTGACTGCATATTTTTGTCTGCACGTGTTTAAGCCGATTTAATAGCAACATCACATAATTTCAACCTACCTTTGATTAGACCTGTCTACTTTCATACATTTTCATGTATCTTGAATGCGTACGTATTGCAGTGGTGACGTTTATAAGAGATAAAGACAGTGCTGCAAAACAGTAAACACCTAATCCTAAAATTTTTATGTGCTCCCCAACTCCAAATTGTTGTTTTCGACAGTTTATAGTCAGTCGAATGTTTTTGCGTACATTTCTATGTCTTCTGTTATTGTTTTCCAACCACTTTAGGATTTCATCTATGTATTGGCATCAAGTAGTCTGTTCATAAATTCCATCTAGGTTACTTTCCTAACGAATTCCATTTTGAAGCTAACTGATAGGACAGATGGATAGTAGCTAGCAGTGGAATCCAGGACGTGAGTTTCGTCCTAACAAAGCTTGTGATCTAAGGCAGTATCGAGGCAGTCCGCACAGGATGCACGTATGCCAATGTGGGACTGATTAAATGCAGTCTTAAATAACAATGGGAAGATACAAGTTAGCAACATCAAGTGAATCTATAACTGATAGGAGGATTCCTCATGTTATAACGCTCGGTCTTACTTTGTCTAATGTTATAACGGTTGGGTTTACACGTATGGAACGTTAATTTACCTTAGACGATTATCTACACTAGATTCCCTCCCAGTGTCTATTCTACAGGACTTCAACGCAACTCAGATCAAGAACACATTATTAGCCTGACCACAACGTAATGTATTTCCACACCGAAACCCGACACAATCAAACAGCAGTGAACAATCAATAATAAGTGAGTAATAATAATAAGGATAGGGGAATATATAATTCATCTGACAACTGTCAGACTAAGCAGACAACCAATCATTATCATTCTCGCCCACACATCACCTCACTAAAGAGAAATACATTACACATTGCCATAATAGTCTAGAGCGACAAATAGCTGTCTATTTTTATTCACAAGGTAGAAATTTAAGATTTCGAAATAATGATATCGATAATAATAAGAGACGGAACATCTAGATTGTTCCGGAAGCAACGAATGAAATCGGCAAGTAAAGTGTAATGTTGACTCTCAAGATTCAGTTGATAAATGCATTTCCATCACTGCGACTTATAATGTCTTTACTTATCATCATGGTAATTTCCTCTCCCTCTGTGCTATGGTGTGACAACTTCGAACCGGTAAGTTTTCGTGTCAATTCCTACACTGAAGGTGACTACGACCATTAAATGTTTATGTCACACACTCCGATCAGAAACTATGCATGTTCCTGGATTATTACACTTGAACTTCTAGTCTATGCTTTTCTAGTTAAACTTTAGATTCGGGATTGTTTAATAGATAGTTGTGCTTGAAGATTGTCTGATTAGCTCTGCGTTCTGTGTATGGGACCGGGTATTTAGTGTCATAGTTTTGGGTTTCTCACATACTGCCAAAACATATCTGTCCTCACAATCCAAGCAGTTGCAACGTAATGGGACAAGCTGAACACTTCAGGTGTACATATATCTCATAAGCACAAAACGTTTCGACATTTTCTGGGATAGGTCATTTGTTTTTATTGATAATTTAAAAGAAGAAAACTGGAATAAGGAAGATCTGTTTTATGCTTTCATAATCGGTAGTAACAAGTGAAGTATAGTTATTAATTTTGCTCAGATTTTATGACCGTAACTAAAATTTCCTTCGTTAATTTTAGGCATTCAATCATCATTACAAAATTTTTTCCAGCCAAGTTATTTTAAGTAAGTATAGCTTTACTCAACTTTATTGATGATGATGGTGTTATTGTTATTTCTTTTGTAGTTATTGTGTTCATAGTGATATTATAGCATTACAAAGGTTATTTTTCATTTAGTCATTGTTCTGTATAAATTTTCAGGAGAGTCACATACACAAATATTAATGCTGCGAAAATTTTGTTCTGGTAAGTGCTATCTGTAGAGTCCGATAGACCAGTATGAAGATCACTTTCGGTCACAAATTGTACATTAATTTATATATGTAAATAAAGTTCCATTTGTAAACAATTACTCAAAGTCTTGTTCTCAATTTTCACAATGAAGTGTCATGTTCGTTTTTGTCCTTAAGATGAATAAACTTAAAAATGATAATATTGGTTTGAACTAACTTTCACACGAGTCCCATTAATAAAGTGACATGAAAATACGTGACCAACTTTACAGATTTTTAACAGGATTTCCTAATTACAAAAATTCAGTTTATTCAAATAGAATTGCTGTCAGAATAGATGGGTTATAACGTCTCTGACTGGGTGATACTGGCAAAAGCAGGTTCATATCTCACACGGAACACTATTTTCCCCAAGATTACAAATACGCCTTGTTGACGAGTTCCAACTAGCAGGGAAGCTAAGTCTAAGACTTCATGTTGACTGTTTCCAACCATTTAACTTGACGAACTTGCATCAATGCCCCCTGTGTATTGTGTACGCTGTTCGGTAAGATCATGATCATTCTCAGGCGATGAGAGCAAATTAGAGATAAGACAATAAAATTGATTGTAGTGTAGTGAATTTCGAATATCAATCTTACACTTGCGCTCATCAGTTTTCTAGATTTGCTAACAATGTCGGGACGAACTTGTCCAACCTTCGATTCGCATTAGTTTGAAATGAGGTGGCTAAATATCAGTAGTAGACAGCGATCCGCGCTTATTACATAACAGTTATTGATCCAGTTAAATACCCAACTTTGGTAGATTGAACAAAATCAAAACATATGAGTTTTGTCCTAACTATATTTATGTCCCTGTAGCACTTCGTCTCATAGGTTGGTCAATTGTGATATCTTTAAAGTACCTAAATATTTGTCAATTTCCCGTTAGGACGCTGACATATTTGGTGTTCAATGAACTATAATCTGCACGTTTATTACCATATTTCTAATGCCTAAATTGTTATTGTAATAAATTATAGCTATAAATTACTTTCTACTTTAAAAATTCTATCCAGTTAGCTAAGTATAACAAACAAGTCAACACTATTTCAACATATGGTTTGTTCCTAAAGAAGCGGATATGTTTAGTGAGCAGAATGTGACAATTCATTATTAAGATGTTAAATATTGTGGGACGATTGTTAGTCTACACCTCGTCTCAGCCGACATTATTTTTTGTTTCATCAACTAATCCTGACGGCATTCGAGGTTGGGGGGTATTTTAACATGTGTAGTACATTATTTACTTCACATAAATACTATTAAACGGCTTTTGCAGATGAAAATACTGGAAAATATTAAGGTCATCTTGATAACGGTCTGTTTTATCACAATAAGCATGACCCTGAGTACGTAAATCTACTATAAGAACTCTACTTCAGCTGTTAACAAGACATACATTTACATTAATGTAAAAAAGGTCAGGGTATTCTACTACTTGTGACGATGTCACTTAATTAATAGCAGTAATGGATAGGATACCTTTTTGGGAGTAAATTCAGCGATCGCTAGATAAACGTTTTTCTTGAATGCTTGAAGTTAAAAAAATCAACTGGTGTCCACTTACTATCTAGCAATTGAATCCTATTCATGTGTAGTAGATAAGTAGCATTATAACCTTCACAAAAAATGGTTTAAATAAAACCTTCCAAATAGCTATTATCCGAGTGAACGGGTTCTAGATTTTAGAAAAGCATCGGATCCTAAACTTGTTTCTGGATCATTTTTAGAAACCAAAAACAAGTAGTTCTTTTCAAAAAAACAATATAGGTTAGTTAATAGTCGTAAGAATTATACATATATATAAATTTACATCCCACAGCACATGCTAAAGATTGAACTGCTCAATAAAAATAACGTAGTGGAGTTCCTAAAGTATTCACTGGAAATTTGAATCAGTATCAAGTTTGAGTGCATTTTCCAAAAACAAATTACCTTTGTAGTCATTAAACTGTAAATGAGTATGATAGACTGACAACCATTCTAGAAACAAACAACTTCGAATATACGTATTAAAAATCTCCAGTCCACTGAGCAACCTAGCTTTGTGATAGGACGTGTCGTGTGGTTTTAGAAAACCAGGTTATCAGACTGAAGACCCACATATACTCAACTAACTGTACCTTTCGTGGAACTAGGCAGTTGGCTTTTTAGCAGAACACTACTTCAGTACAACGAGACCATAAACGCTATAATTATGCGACGTCATTTGATGCTTTTGACAATCGATAGTAGCGTTTTGCTACCGAATGTTAGAAGAACAAATCAAGACGAGTATGACGTCCGACTTAAAGGTGGGATGCGGTTCAGTCGAGTAGCTAGACAGATTAATATGCTCGGAATTAAAACATTTAGTGTGAGGGCACATGATACTAGTATTCCCGAATCGGTGTTGGTAGGTCTAGGTTCGAACCCACAACATGGTGTTTGCTCTAACTACTGGCTCCAATCCCTCAATTCTATCCAACTGAAGACCAGTCATTTGTGGTTTTAAGCCACAGCATGAACGACTATATATTTTGTATCCGATTCCTTCACCTTCGAACCTTGTAAAGTGGACACCTAATTAAATGGATATCAAATAGTTTCAAACTAAAATCTTTGATTAAGCAGTATCAAAGGTTTGTATGAGTGATATAGTAACATTAATATGCGGCTAAGTATTATGATACATGAGAATTGCGAACATTCGATATAAAACAACTTTCGTCAGTCCTCTGGGTAAAAGTGGACGAGTTATATTCAACAAAATCGGAAACAGATTTACAGGAGTGTGGATCCGAAAACAAATACAAGGCCGTTCAAAATACTTGAATACGTGCATTAAAATAATTCAGTAAGAAGATATACTGTGAAATAAACAAGATACTAGTAAGTAAAACATGTTTGCGTACATATATTTTACAGAGTGCAGAAGTGAGTCAAGTTACAGATAAAGTCCTTCAGGTGTCCCTTCACTTTTCCGATAAAGTACATTCTCTCTCGCCTTTTTGAAATCTTCGTCAGTGACTTTCATTCTTCTTTCTCGTAGAGCCAACAACCCAGCTTCAGTACAAATAGCCTGAAAAAAAGAGAAAATCGAAACCCACTTTTATTAGTGCGCAGCTAAAAATAAACATTACACTTCCTAATCTTTTATAGCTTGGTCTTTATAACATGACTCAGTTTGTGAATTCCATGGCACAGCGTTGATTTTAGCCCGAACGCATGAGGGCTCTTCTTACTCCATTCAACATAAACACATACAGAAAAAGTTGATATCCTAGCAACGATCATGTAAAAAACGGTGGGAATTTTTGATGAAACCCACACCTATGAGCTTTCAAAGGATAATTGTTTCGTATGGGGTTTTTACAAAAACACTACATGTGAACCGAACACTTGCACGATGTTGGTTTTAAGGACGTCATATAACTTTTATTCGAAAACGTTTAAGCGATATATGAAGAAATATAGTGCAACAACGATGAGTAAGCCTGACATAAAATTTGCAGACACGCTACTTGTTAGTGAACCGATCTGATTTAATCTGAAATTCAGGATTTCAGAATGCATTCTGCCAGCTAAACTTGGTGATTCCCAGTCGTTTTTAGATGACTTCAGCACTTCTTTATTTCATAAGTAAATGAATAACATTTTAGAAAAGATATACTGAAATGGTGAAGCAGTTTATTTAATTTCACATAAAATCTAGTATAACTGGGAAGCAGGAATGATATGAGCCACGTAACATAGGTTTGCGTGTAGGCCGGTTTCGGTAGCAAACAACAGATTGCTTATTTTGAAATCCCTAATCAAATGACTTGGAAGACCTAGGTCAATTGAGTCAGGCGCTTCATAAATTCTTTGAACGTCTCAGTCACACTGCTCCTGGTTCTCCTCAGGCCTATTTTTGCTCATCATACTTTTCAATACGCCCAATTTGGGGTAAGCAATGGTTTGGTGTGCTTGTATAAATTAAATATCATCTCACCTTGATGTCAGCACCTGAAAGTTCATCTTTAGAAGAAACATATTCCTCCAAATTTACATCTTCAGCTAAAGTCATGCGACTTGTATGAATACTGAAAATACGACGTTTTGTTTTTTCATCAGGTAAGGGAAATTCGATTTTACGATCGATTCGACCAGGTCTGATTAGCGCAGGGTCCAACGTTTCAATTCTGTTAGTGGCCATAATAACTTTCACGTCTCCACGAGAATCAAAACCATCCAGTTGATTAAGTAATTCTAACATTGTCCTCTGTATTTCGCGTTCACCACCTGAATTTGATTCATACCTAAAATAATCAAAACTGATTTATTGAGACAAACCTAGCCTACATCACATGTACGGCATACGAACTCAGTGTTATTCGGAAGATTCATAAATCTAACCTTATTGGCAATAAGATAATATCAATCAAAGAAGCAAACGTAGTGAAAGTAACCAAGCTGGTATAGAAATATCAACAAGAAATAAAGTCACATCATTGCATCCTTTCTACAACAAGCATACTACTTAGAGTACAATACTTTTATAGATTAAATTTGCGGAAATTATATCAGCCAGCAAAGGCATAATCACTTAACATAAAAGTTTAATTAGGACCCATCAGTGAACTTTTAGATGTCTTGTTCTAACTACTGAACTAAATGGGTGGCAAAACATGACTGCTTCCTTAGTTGACTGGGTTTGGTCACTTGAATAGACACCATCCTGCATTGAACGCCGTGTATCTTACTGGTATTCCTAATTCGGTTACCGAACACTTGGTTTTGCTTGGAATTATAATTTTCCAATCCCAAAAAATACAAAACATGAACTTAACATCCCGAAATACTTATTCACAGATACAGTATTCTCCCCGAATTTAAACCTAGTACATATATATGTTCGTTTTACTGAACAGTTATTTCACAAGGATCTCCGCTTGTAGCTCTTTTAGGGCTACTGCTGGTCCCAAGCCCAGGTAAAGAAGGTTGGGGTATAGAGTCAGCATCCCAGTCCCGTAACAAATATTGCTAAGAAACGCTAACCAGAATAACTCTGGTCACGAAGAGGAAAATACTCCACACATTCAGGGAGTTGCTCTGGTGCTGTTTAAACTAGCACGAAATGCACTTATAGAATGGAAATCTCATGGATCATCAAAGCATCATTCAAAACAAAGGAGGAGGGAATCACAATGAATATTATCCAATGTTATGCACCCACCGATGATAGCAATGACGACGACAAAGATCAGTCCTACGAGAGGCTGCAATCGATCATAGAGAAATGCCCAGGAAAGAACCTAACCATCGTGACGGGAGATTTAAACGCAAAAGTTGGAGTGGACAACAACGGTTATGAAGATATCATGAGACGACATGAACTGACTGAGAGACAGGAACGGGAATGACGAGGAAGTTGCAAATATATGTGCATTCAACAAATTGGTTATAGGCGGCACAATACTTCCACACAGACGCGTACACAAAACTACATGAATCTCAATGGACCACACCACGGAAAACCAGATCGATTATATTTGTATCACTGAAACATTCACAAGGACAATGGAAGACGTGAGAACCAAGAGAGGAGTTGATATAACTTCAGATCACGATCTACCCGACCGTTGTTGCTACCTTGACATGGTGGTCGGGCTTGCCTATCGTAATGAAGCAACCGAGCTATACTGGCTGAAACAACCGTTCCTCAAGGTCCTACCATGCCAGACATGTCGGTTGAGGAGCAGCAAGACTAAAAGCGACAAACCCAAGGTCCGGAGGCGAAGTCGTACTGATGACTGTATAGAGGTGTGACAGCAGTACGGTGTTTCCTTCAGACAACCAGCATGACGGCGATGCTGCCTTCCCACAAGGAGGGGTGGAGTTAGCAAAGGTCAATCCTAGAAATGCACACCTCGCATTATCTCACGAATATCCGTCTCCGGCGGCAAGGTCTCAACAAGTACGGAGCTAACACAAAAAGGTCACTGAGACCACCCCTAACACAATTTCCTTTTCAGGTACCTCCAGAAAAACCCTTCCACGGTGTAGATAACCGGGAAGTGATAACCGCCCTCATATATCTAACAGCACTCAAGTACCACTGTATTCATAATCAAACTCCCTCTTCAATTCCTATAATTCCTCCTACATCGACTTTCAACTCTAAACTTCCTGTTTCGGCTCCGTCCTCGAGTGTCACCATAGCCAACGACTCTAGTGTGCAAAACACTGTCCCAGGTCCACTGAAACCTCGCTCCAAACTACACATTAGAGCCTCCAACGTACACATACTATGTCAAGTCGGTCAGCAGGCCTCCTTGGCTAAAACCCTAGAATCTCGTACGATTGATGTATGCTGCGTCTCCGAAACACGCATACAGGATCCTAGTGTGGTAATTCACTTGACCCTGCCTCGGCAAGACGGAGAGCTAACGAGATACACCCCCGTGTATCTGGCGACCCGATGGCTAGTCCTCGTGTACTGGCAGGTGTAAGCGTAGCACTAAGCATGAGGGCGGAACAAGTATTATTAAAGTGGATCCCCGTTAACAGTCGTCTATGTGTTGTTCGGCTAAACGGTTCCGTAAGAACTCGGAAAGATAGGGACACACGTGGTTGCCTTTTTGTCGTTTCTGTCTACGTTTCCACTGACTGCAGCTCGGATGAAGTGAAATATGAATTTTACAGAAAGCTCTCTGAACTTCTTCAGAAAGCTAAACGTTCAGACATAGTACACGTGGGAGATGACTTTAATACCCAGATAGGTAGCTTAAACCAGACAGAAAGGCATTTGGGTGTGTATTTTAGTATTCCGACACAGCGAACAGATAATGGTGATCGTCTGCTGCAACTGTGCTCAGACAATCGTTTATTTTTAGCAAACACACATTTTAAGCATTAGGAGAGACATCGTCTAACATGGCGACTTCCTGCACCAAACCAACGATGGACTCAAATAGACCATATTGGCATCAGTCATCGTTGGAGAGGTTCGATAGAAGATTGTCGTTCATTCTGGAGTACCTGCTTGGACTCCGACCACACTCTAATACGAGCACGCATCTGCTTACGCCTCACTGGATGCAGAAAAGCCACACTAAGAAGACCCATTAGAACTGAATTGAGTAACGAGAAAACCAAAAGTAGGTTCCAGGAACAACTGAGGTCACACTTAAATAGTTCTGAAAACGAGGCTGCTCTCAGTCCAGACGTTTAGGACGATGGGCGGAACACTTTACAGAGCAGTGTAGCTGACCTTCAGCTATTCTAAAACTGCTTACCATTCCCAGAAAGCCTGAATGGAACATTGAAGTAAGTCCTTCAACTCGAATTGAAGTGGAGAAAGCTATAGCTAATCCGAAACGAGGAAGGGCAGCTGGTTCAGATGGATTTGTTCCAGCGGTCTTTAGGTCTGGTGGTCCAGTTTTAATGATTGGGTTGACTAATATTTTAGCTAAAATCTGGGAGTCGGATATAATTCCATCTGACTGGTCGCAATCACTGATCGTCCCAATATGTAAGAAGGGGTCAAAATCATCCTGTGATAACCATAGCGGGATTAGTTCGACTAGTATAGAACCTAAAATACTAGCCTCAATAATTGTCGTACGCTTAACAAAGGCTCGTAGGCTGCAAACACGAGGAAATCAGGTTGGTTTCAGACCTGGTTATGGCTGCATCGACCACATATTCACCATTCGTCAGGTTCTAGAACACAAGCATACTTATCGTCGTCCGACAATGACAGTTTATCTTGACTTAAAAGCAGCATTTGATTCTGTAGACCGGGAGGTTCTGTGTCAGTGTCTGTTATTGAAAAGCGTACCTCAGAAGTACATAAACCTTGTGAAGGCTCTTTACTCGAACACTACCAGTCGGATCAGAGCTTATGGAAAGTTGTCATTTGATTTTTCAACCTCAAGTGTTGTCCGTCAAGGCTGTCCACTATCTCAACTTTTGTTCAACTTCATTATAGGTATATTGATGGAAATAACGTTCCCGTCGACTGAATTCTTGGGCATTGATCTCCCTCCAGGAGGTCCACTTATCGACTTAGAATACGCAGCTGATATAGTTCTGTTTTTCGAAGACGCTGATAAAATGCAGAGGTCTTTTGGTAGCACTGAGCAACAATGCCAGGGTGTTTTGGACCCGTTTCTCCCCATCTAAATGCAAGTTATTGCTTCAGGACTGACCTGCGTTAACACCTGAACTAAGGATAGGGCGTGAAGTAGTCGGACGCGTTGACAACTTCACTTATCTTGGAAGTCTGATCAGCCCTAATGCGTTGGTGTCTGACGAAATCTCAGCACGGATTCGAAAAGCTCGCTTGGCTTTTGCCAACTTACGTCACCTATGGCGAAGGCGAGATATCCGTCTATCAATAAAAGGACGAGTATACTGCGCGGCAGTCCGTTCTGTCTTACTTTACGGCTGCGGAACGTGGCCATTACGAGTAGAAGATTCTCGTAAGCTACTAGTATTTAGTCAAATATGTCTTAGAAATATCGCTCGCATTTTCTGGGATCACCGGGTAAGTAATAGTGAGGTTAGACACAGGGTATTGGGGAACGATGGTAAATCAGTTGATGAGGTTGTAAATCTTCGTTGAATGGGATGGTTGGGCCATGTGTTTCGTATGCCTGAACACCGTTTACCACGACGCGCAATGCTGAGTGGTGTTGGAGACGGTTGGAAGAAAGTTAGGGGCGGTCAAACCAAAACGTGGCATCAGTCCTTGAAACCACTAACTTCTAGTCTGAGCCACGTTGGTGGATGCAGACTACTTGGTTAGGGTGTGCGTGACTATCGTAACTAATGGTTGGAGATTCTTGGTGACATGGCTCAGAATCGATCACAATGGCATTGGTGTATACACTCTCTGGCTTCCCTTAAACTAAGAGAGTAAAATCGCTTCATATCTTTCTTTCTACTAACTATTTCTCTCTTCTTGTACTATATCCTTATATGCAATCTTCCTTTTATATATTACCACCATTGAATTAACTACTTCTATGAATCTAGTGAATCTTGTTGTGCTAATGCAGTATGGAAATTTGGACCGATGCACATATGTGCCTGGTCCTACGTTGTAGATGACTGACAGACTACGTGGTTGGGGTCCACTTGATTATCGTAACCAATAATCAGAGACTTTGGATGACATGGTTCAATATCGTTTGCAATGGCGCAGGCTCATCTACTTTTAGTCTTCACCCAAATTCTGAGATTCTAAGTTCCTCATAACTTTTTTCGTTCTTATCCCGCTAATTTATATATATTTTTCGAGTTGCATCTTCTGTGTTTAATCTTTCCTATTACCACTGATACTGTTACTACTTCTACTGGTCTGGGGTTTTGCCTGACAATTTCATTTCGGTGTGCTAATGGGGTACATGCATACAGGTTCTACTTTATGAATGAATGACTAAATAACACGTTTTTATTTATTTGTTTTCATTCCCTTTTTCCTTATCTCCAAAGTCCTGAGAAGTGTTATACAACTGACTTTCTCACAAATCACTGGCTTGAATATGTAACGGTTGTAAAGTCAATCCTCACTAGTGACTATAATATATGGCGATTTTTCCTTCACAAATTTCCCTTTCGTCCCTTGGAAATATAAAACAGAATATAATTCTGAGTTTTGTTGCTATCAATATTGGGTCTTTATTTTTTTAAATTTAATTTCGCGAAAATGTCAGAAACCGTGTCCCATCGGTCTAGTGATTTGAAAGCCCAAGCCTTTGAAATTTTAGAGTGCTTCTAGAAGGTTTTTATTACTTGATACCAACTAGACAACTTCAAATGGCGTCTTTATTTCTGCATAAAGATGTCGAACTCCTTTCCACGGAAACTTAGGATAATGTTTAAAATGCATCACTGAAATCTTTAATGTTTTCACTACGTCGAGAACTGAATTTCTATACTGACGCCTTTTTTTCTTTGACAAATTTTAGGTAAATGGAAAATTATCATTATCCTGCTAGCAAAGGTAGAGGAAAATGCTATAACAGAAGGAAATATCAAACAACCATATGACACGACGAAGAAACTGGCAAGGAAACATAGTAAACCAGAGAGGCTGGTCAAGGACAAGGGGGGAAAAACCAATCACTGAAAAATAGTATATACATATATATATATATATATATATATGGCAGTGCTAGACATTTCTATTCGCCAGTTTATGAGGATATCAGCTGGGAATCTCCTACACAAACGAGTGTCTCGAATTTCCAGAATGCAAGCTGGACACCTTTTGTTGTGCTTTTATATCAATGATGTTTAAGACATACAATCCGCCCTTATTAACTACACAAATATTGAGTCCTTTTCTTTTCGTAGCTGTATTTTTAACCCACTGTAGCCCCAAACACAAAAATGTGGACAAATAATCAGCTCAGTAGCACCAAATTAATCTATTTATGTAGTGAATTATACAATACAGTAAAATAAAAAGATGAAAAGCAAAGCAGAATAATTAACCTCAACCCAGCAAATGAGTAAAAGCTAAGAGCTATTGCTATACCAGTATGAAAACTTCGTTTCCCACCGACAAGTAGAAGGACTAAGATTTTGAAGTGAAATTACCAAAGCATCTAATTATTTTACTCTATCGTCGAACTAGGATTAACGCGAACTACTCTTGGAACACTTTAAATTTAGAGGAGAAACGTATCTCTAATGTTTATGCATTTACATTTGCTAGGAGTTACCCAACCACATATACAGTACTTGAAAACACCACAAACCTTTTTGTCCCCACCGCATCGATCTCATCAATAAATACGATACTAGGTGCATTTTCCTCTGCCAACCGAAACAACTCACGAACCAATTTTGGACCATCACCCAAATACTTTTGAATTAATTCTGACCCGACAACCCGAAGGAAGGTAGCTGATGTTTGGTTAGCAACAGCCTTAGCTAGCAATGTTTTGCCTGTAAAAAGAAATATTTGTGCCAACGCGAGAGAATATTTAACCCATTAATAATATAAACTAGCGGCAAATTATTTAGTGGACAAATCCCTTTATTGAGTGACTTGTTACATAAATATCGCAGTTAGAATTTAAAAGAATTTTGGAGTTGAGCACTGAATTAAGCGGAACTGTAGTGTCTATTTCAGAGGCAGGAAAAAAGCAATCTCCAGGTCTATCAGCTTGAGAGAGGAATTCAAATTTCAGTTGGACTGACCAAATTATACAGAATGAAACTTTCATCTGCCATCTGTTTTTAGATAGGTGCTTGGACTATCGATTCATTAATTTACACAAATACAAGTGTACACACGCACTACCTACATACCACACATTAATAACAAGTCAAAAGAATCACAATTCAGTAAAAATTATTCAGCAGGGCTATAATTTGTAGACGAATCAATCAGATCTAGGGCGAGCCCTGAATTTTGGAGCGAAATTTATTCATTTATATGATTAAATGGCATTTTGGGATGATGTCGGTTCACAATGAGAGCACAACTCTAATTCATAATAGTAACTTCTAACTCTAAATCCAGGTTATGATTTCTCATACTAATTTATAACACTCCTTAAACCCTAGTGATTAGGTGATTTCCAAAAGACCAGTTTGGTGTCGTTTAAAAGGTCGTCATAAATTATGGTCTCCCTAATCATTTTTACTGGAACTGCGACTCATAAGCCCTAATTCGGGAACGACTCTACACATAAGATGGGAACCATACCTAACTAGTAGGTTGAATTACTGTTAATTATGGGGACTAGGTCACCTAAGGTGGAGGACTTTTGTGGGTGATTGAAGCAGATAAAGCAATTCACAATAGCAAAATGAAATGAGTAAAAATGGTGATACCGACAGCAATGGAAAAGTAGAAGAAACCAAAAACTATGAGTCACTATTCGCCAGGTTCACTAGAAATGAAGAATAAATGAGCCTGATCTATTAGAACTTAGTTTTAAAGCGTCACATAGTTTCTAACTAAAGGTTTCGAGCATCTCGATCATAAAGTTTGCATTGTCTTAATAATTTCAAACTGGTAGTTAGATTTAAGCGGGGAGGGGGAGATATATGCTAACATAAATATATTTATTTTAATTTATTTATTTATTTGAACACATAAATATTGGTACAAGAGAGCGCCTTGGAAAGGCTTGAGGTGAAAGACAGGCAACCTAATGTGCTGTCCACTTAGTACAGAACAATAAATACGCAAAAATAGAAAACAATCCTACCTGTCCCTGGTGCACCGTACAAGATTACGCCTTTGGGGGGTTTAATACCCATTTCTTCATAAAGTTCTGGATGAGTTAAAGGTAGTTCAACTGATTCTTTGATCTCCTGGATTTGTACATCGAGTCCGCCAATATCAGCGTATGTTTCTTGTGGAGCCTTTTCTAACTTCATAACTGTAACCATAGGATCGGTTTCGTCTGTCAAGACACCAACAACAGCATGAACCTAAATAACCCAGGTAACGGCAATAAATACGACGGATACTTTATGGTTTAACAAGACAGAACACCCAGGTTCAAGCATACCCTTATCGACGAAAGAAAGAATGCTAACATAGTGCTCGCTACCAACAGAGGTAGATACTACAACGTGATTGTCGTCAATAATTTCTTCTAAGGTCCCCACGGACATTGGAGTGCCACGCAAATCATCAACTTTTGACCGTTCCTCCTAAGACCAGTTTAAAAATAAGATTAGGAATACCTCGTGACGCTCTTCATCCGTTTTAAGACGCTCCTGATTTTTGATAAACTCTTCTTCCATAAGCAGAAAATCCTTAATTCTCTCCATTTTTAATAAACGAAGTTTACAACGTGTATGAGGTGTGACTTGAGGTAATTTGTTGGCACTATCTGGCCCTTTAGATCGTTTGTGTTTACCCATTCTAGTAGGTACTGGCGGATCGAATTCTCTTCGTTTAGTCTGGGAATAAAAAGTCAATAGTGTCTCATACCTTATCATCTTTCTTATTTCCTTCTTGACTAGATTGCTTTTGACCCTGGATACAGAATTATGAAGGAAGTATTCACAAACCATTGAGAACGCAAAATGTCTGGAGAAAAACGTTTCCGCGAGCCTTGGTATGGGGAAGAATGAACAGTCAACTGTTAATCGAAGCAAGCTGACACACTAAGAAAACTTTTTGTACTGGGCGCCTACATTCAATGTTACCCCTAATAGTTTTGCGCCTATAAGTGATAAATAAATAATTAATTTTCGAATGAAATGAGAAAATGAAACAACCGTGAGGTCAACTAGGGAAAAGTCAATTCATTTTTTGTGATGAGTAAGTGGGGCCAGTGAAATTTCACTGAGCCCTAACCAAATAATTTAGCAGTTGGGTCAAAGAATATCTAACAGTTTATCGATCCCCGTCCAGGACAGCCGACGCGCATCAGTTGATCGTATACCATGGACTGGCCCATGAGGTGGTGGTCTCACTTTCTTTTCTGTACGCATTCTTACTAATACATTTCCATAATAACGTCCTTTATGCTATACGATCTTCAGAGCAGACTTAGCACTTTGATGCATTGAAAGGTTAATCTACGTTAGGTGCTGACCGCGAGGCGACTTCGAAGTTAGCTGGTTCCCGTCTTACTCTAGTAGGCCCTCAATCATTCGACAGAGATCACCAACGTTGAAGATCTACAAGTACATTAGGTCGGGTGACTTGTATTAGGCTTTATGGTAAGTATTTTTGAAACGACTTCGTTGGTTACCCAAGCCCAAGTTCGAAAAATATGCTTGTTTATACCATGTGAAGCTAAGAATATTGGCGGTCCAAACATATGACTACCATACCTAAAGATACCGATGATGGTATCGTTATATTTTTCCCTGTTCACAACACCGATAACTGTACATGGTCTTGAATACTTCAAAATCAGCCAAAGACAGAAAATTCTATAGCCGTTTTCTCGGCCTTAAGAATCTCTGTGCTATGTGCTATGTCGTATTGTACAACCATAACAGTAAATAGAACAAGTGACTGTATGATGGGGGCAAATCTGCTCCTATACTTCGTCGACAGATTTCCGACTTTCATCTGATGAATAGCATACAAATTCTCAGGGTTCATGAAAAGTCGTTCCACTTCCTCACTTCACAAACAGCTACATGAATGTACCATCGATCAATGTAGTATTCTTTTGTTTTGTTTTCCAGTAAGTGGATAAATGATGTTTGTAGGAACTAGGGGTGGAAATTAGCGAGTTACTTCCCAAATCCACGTCTTCATAATTTAGAAGACGATCATTTCAATGTTTCCAACCGTCCTTTTGATTAAAGAAAGATGAATATTGAAATCACTGACTATAATTTGGTCGCGTGGAGTTACCAATAGTTGGCGCGGACACTTCTTAGTAATTTGACGCTTGTACTTTAATTAACAGTTGACGCTTGCATAGTTACTGATAAGTCTTGTTAATCTGAACGCTTTATTCGGTTCCTAAGCTATTCTGGTAACCCGCAAGCTAGAACTACTCAGTGACCTGAATTCAAGAGAAAAAGCGCAAAATAAGCGAAAAACACTTTACTCCAAAGGTTCATTTTTGTATAGAAAAACACGGGTATTTATAAATGTTAACATTTGTTGAATCAACATCATATTTTGTCCAGTGCGCTAGAAGACATATTACGCTACTGACTAATAGTAGCACTCCATGTTGATATTCTAGGAAGCTTCATCATGCTCTGGTTGGCTAGGACTCTTCGGCTCCTTTAGGGCCTCTGGGGACTCCATTGCAGTTCTTGGAAAGCCAACTCAACAGCTACTGAAGCAGAATACAAGGACAGTGATGGAATTCAATGTTCCATTAATTGTTTTCTCATTTCCAAGACTCACATTATAACTGTTAAGGCGAAATTTGTATTGTGTGGCCTGGTTATCAGTTATTATCATCGGTTAGCGTTCCTGATAGAATAAAGATTTGTAGTCTATCAACTGAGCTGTATCACAAGTTTGGGCTGATTAAACGTATTATCCACACCCCAATATCGATGGTTGTGTCCGCGCTACTAAATACTAGTCAACTTTTCAAACCACTGTAGTGGCATTGGACCATAACCACACAATCCTCAAAGTTGAATACGAGATTACTCGGAAAATAGGTATTCAATATTTAACGCGGAGAAATACACAACGATGGAGGAGGCGCGAACAAGGAATTGAATGAATTGGAGTTGATCGGATGGCATGACTCGGCCATTCAGCCGTGGTCCATCTGAATGTTACCTTATATCTTCTATTCATATTAAATATATTGTTCCTTCTCTAGCCTAACCTTGTTCTACATCATGTATTGGTAATTCATACGATACAGTGAGTTGGTGTAGTCGATGGTGTGACTTCCACGTAAGATCTTATAGATTAGGCAGTTATATCATGACAAATCTACAATTTTAGGATTAGGTCTATTATTAGAGCAGTACTAATATCATAGTAGACCATAGTTCTACACCACGTCACAAGATTTTTTGCTATTAGTGCTGTCAAACTCAGCTCAAGATATCAGTCTAGGGACCAGATCTCACTCTCTGTCGACAAGTTGACCACGGTTTTGAGCTTTAAATAAAAACCTCCATGAATTCATGGGCGACCTCCCAAGTAGTAGTTTTCTTAAATAGCCAACAGTATTTTAAGTGATTGGCGTAACGGAAATTTTTAGACTTGTGCTAAATGTGATCTGAGGTTACCAATGAACCATGAAGTGAATTTTTTATTATTGGAAGAAAGGATTAACAATTGTTTTTCAAATACAGTTAATTCTCGTTCAAGTAGATTTTTAGTGTGATTGACATAACACTGGACTAGGGAGCACTTTTTTTATTCACGACTCTTATTCTGGTCCTCTCTTGCGGAAAAACAGATTGATAAGATCGCAGCTTCAAGCAAATGACGATGAAATCAAAATTTCAAGTTTCGAACTTCAAACATTCACCCGTAAATTACCAACTTACCATATATTGTTTTAAACAATAATTATGATAACTTTTTTGATTACAAACCTTAATTGTCTACAGTTTCAGAGCAAATGTTGAGAAATGCAAATTCGAATTACGAAGAAACCCAAAGTTTGAAGTGAGAATTATAATCGGATCAAGTTCCAAACTTTGGTTAGACGAACTCATAAAATAACATTCACAATAAAAATTCGGAACCAGTTAAATACCCCATTTCTCCTGTAGCACACTTATTAAGGCAATTTATACCCTGTTCGTTGCAAGAAGCTCACCAATTTTAACTGCCACCTTGTCTCAATCATGTATGAATTGTTGGTGTGAAACAGACCACTTACAAATGTTAGATGGAAAAATTGTGCCAAAAGAGGCAATATCACACTATATTTTCACTGTATTTCCAGACTTAACTCAGACAAAACGCACAGAAAAAGGTCAAGGGGTCTGAAACTAAACCAAGTATAACTAACTTCTCATAGACCCAGTCATGTGAAACGAAGAGGCAAGTGAAAAATTCGTATGTGTCGAAAATCTCACAAGCTTGTCGCTCAGACATAACAAGACACCAAAATACCATTTCTTAGGGTTTCAATCTATGTACGACTATCTATGGAATGTGAATAGTCTCTCAGTGATCACTGAAAAGTTGCTACCAAATGAAGGAAGTACATGAATCTAAGATTATGAGAACAAGCTAACTAATAAAAAACAACATTTTGATAGGTTGAAGGTTTGACATAGACATTTCAGTTTAGATTGCGTGGCACTCGATATCATGTTCAAGAATAATGAACAGCTGGGACGACAATCTTTCTCTGTCACAAACCAGTAAGCAAACTGAACAGTTTCGACTTCCTGGATGGCGTTTTGAAGAAACGTGAGTACTCAGTTGCCTTTAAGAAACGAAACCTGATACTTTCAGGACAATAAACTCAGAGTGGCCCACTAGAATTAAAACTAGGAAGATCTATTAGATCTATTAGCTTAGAACACTTATGAAACGGCGTACGGTGGCGCAACTTCGTGGACTGGTTGAAGTTAGACATTTACACCGTTGGATGTCAGCTCAGTGGTCTAATGATTAGGGGTTCGCGCGCGAGACTGATAGGTCCTGAGTTCGAATTTCGCGGGGGCGATATCGTGGATGCACACTGCCGATGAGTCCCATACTAGGACTAAAAGGCCATCCAGTGCTTCCAGGTTTTCTATGGTGGTCTAGCTTCGATTGACTCATGATTTCAACTACTGACATACGAAACTTTAAGATTTAGCTCAGACCACATGATACGACTGGTTATCACTCGCAATTTCTCCGACTAAATAATCTTGAAAATGTATATTATGGTGAACGAAAATCACCCGGGGAATATTCAGAAACATGAGGAGCTCAAGAATCAAACAATATTAATTATGTACCGGATCCTACATGTCCGAGATTTCGCAAATGACTAACAAGAAATTATGCTATTCATCAACGTCATATAAGGATGTCATAATATTTCAGTTGTTGAGTATGGTTGCAAGGCAACAAACCACACGTCTCCTAAAATATATCGGTTTGTTTAGATCCCTTTTGGTTCGGGAAAAGTTGTGTAAGTATTCCAAACATTCATAAGTGGTTCGTATTGTGATATATCCTTTGATCAATCATAGGTTGATGAATTTTTGTTTGTCTTTTCGATCCAGAATCATAAGAGTGATTTATGAGACGTCTTTTGAAAGGAAAATATAATGCTGAATGCATATCAGTCGATGAAGGATGTACACTGAGTTCAAATAGAAGTACACACCACCTGGAGAGGGTTAAGACGGAAGACTAACATTGAATATCAAGTCAATTATTGAAACGTATAGAAATTTCAGTTTAAGCTATTGCTTAATTTCGGCTCTTGAAAAATATACAAGCATTGAGAAATGTACTGGGTTGAAGACCGTGGGATATTGACCTGACTTCATGTCTATGGATGCTATATAGAATCACAATGACAAACTAAACCAGACAACCTCACGAAATATGGTTTTTAGTCTTAGTGATGAGGGGTGTAAGATCCATTTTGAATGTTTTGTGTGTTTGT